AAAATTTCAAGTTTCAGCACAATCGCAACCGGACCGTAGGAGAAGACTTTCAACCTGAACGCTGATCTTGAATGATAACATGTACGCACACCCGTGACCTGATTTGGCGCACCAGGCCGTGCATCTCTTTCTTTCGCACCGTAATAGAAGCACGAGTTTTTGCATCCCACCTTGATTGAAGCTTCGTTCTGATTCTCTTTGTAATCTTCGACAACTTGGGAACATCGCGACCGGCTGTTCTTGTGGCGTAATCCCGTACGCTGATAAACACCGGTGTCCTAGCCTCGAGGATGCATCGTCGGCTTGCCGGCGCTGCCGTATAACGGATTGAGGAGCCCACCAATTGCTTCTTATCTGTGTCCTTCCCTGAATTGATGCCACTGCTCGCCTGAACTTCTTGAGCCCCTAAAACTATTGCCCTTTTCAATATTGGTCCGACTCAATTGACCTCCGCCGTCCTACTAGTATTAAAACGATGTTTCAAGCAACTCACGGATGATGTTTGCTGTCCACGTGATTTGTGTCGTCCGGATGAGAAATCAGGTGCCCAGGAACGAAGTCTGGCAATGGACGTGCTTGATTTTTTCCATCGGCTGAAAATGCGCCCCTTTCAGTAAACCAAACCGCTCGATATTGCCTGGCATGACCAGGGACGAAATTCCACTTGGATTTGCCGGAGCAATAGCTTAGTCGGACAACTGAAGGCCGGTCAATTGGTTTGTTATATGGTCGTCGAACCGAGGGCCAATGTCTCGTTGGAAACCGGGCAGTCTTCTTGCACTGCCTTCTTTGGATAGAGTGTTGAATGCGACTCTGGCAATTGTCGTCTCCCAAAGTAGAAGCGGCTGTTATTTCAAACGGACCAACGATATGACGCAGGCGGAGCGCCCCGATGCGCAACCGGCCAGCGGTTTTGTCCCTTTTCGTGCCGGTTCCTTAGAGAACCGCTTGCGTACGTCATGTGCCGGGCAAAGAAGGTGAGAGGCCGTTCGTGGCCGCAACACCCTGGTTGGCAGTGACTAAAAGAAGCAGCCCGAGCAAGTCTTGCTCAATGCCTCTTCGATGAAGACTGATCCCGGCCGCCGTGACGTACTACGGTGACGTCACTGCTGATTTGCCTCTCTTCCATGCCCCACTGCATATGTGTCAGTCGGTTCTCAACCACCGTCGCAACGAGCCTCGTGGAATCTAGGGCCTTTCAATCAATAAACGAGTCAGGCAAATGGGGTTTAGCGGCCTTTTCGATGATTCGAGAATGCGCGGCAAGCACCTCACAGGGAATCGTATGGCTCTGCGTTTCTCTCCTGAGAGCCCCTTCTCTGTTTTAGTAGGTACGTAAGGGATTCACTCTTGGTGGAGAACCGTATGAGCGCAGCGTTTTCAACGGCCATGTCTACTGTTTGAGCAGCCTTTGAAGCCTTCTTCACTGCACTGTTTGTCAGATTTTGCTAGCTAAAGCACCCGTTTGCAGTGTGGTGATTTCGAAACCGAACCTGTCTTTTGGTCCCTCTGGACCTCCAAGGGCTCGCTTCCTGCGTTTGCCCAGTGCTTAGGCAGGGCACTTGAGGCGACCAGCTTCATCGAACGTGCAGAATTCTGCGTTCCCATCCCTCACGTTATCAAGACCGACGTTGCCAACAAGAACTTACATCAGGTCATGGGCAGGTTATCCGGGATGCGTCTCGTGCTGTGTCGTATGCTCTTGCATAGGCAGTAATGAGATTGACAGTCAATTCAAGAACGTCTGCGCCGTAAAGCGCAGATGTCTTGTTCCTGTCCTTTGACGCCATGCTAACCCTTGTTCAATCGGTCGCCTCACGAGACTGCCCTTTACCCAATAAATAGTTTTATGCCGAAGTACCGGACTTGGGCCCAGAAGTACTCCAATCTTTCGAACGCTTTCAAGTGGTGTGATTATTACCAGTATAACCATCGATGCTGAGCTGGCACGATTGCTTGAAAGAGTGCAGCTCGTTTCCCCTTTGCTAAGGTCCAGTGATGCCCGGAATACGGTTCCTGTAGCCTAGCGTGTTGCGTCGCGCAATTTTGAACCCGCTCTTTGATGGAGAGGACCTAAAGGTGGGTTCAATCGGCACTAATGTTTTATTTTCCTTTGGCCGTTTTTCTGTTCTTGCTGGCAATGACGAGAGAGCCCAATAAGGAAACAATCCTCAACGGTGCGGCTCTTGCAGGCCGATGCTGGTGTCGCCTTCAATCTTTGCTCTTTTTGATTCGCTGTTTTGAGTCACAAAAGCTGCCATTTGTATCCTATGCAGACGTTGTGGTCCGGGGCTACGTGCTACCCCGCTATTTCACTACCTCCGAGTCTGTTTCGTACGGTCGCTTTGTGCCTGGTAAAGTTTTGAATTTTTGGCTCCTACCCTCTTATATCACGGGTGCGCGGCAAATTGATGCTCAGCTCCGCTTTCTGAAGGTTTGCATTCGGCGAGCTAGCCGCGTATCTGCTTGTAAAGCAGAATCCGTCGTGACGAAACGGCAAGCAGATAATGAGGAGATGATCTCACACCTGCTAGGCGCCAGAATTTAAAGAGAATTGCGCGCATCTGATTTTGAGTGTTGACCGCTTACATAGCGAGACTCCAACTCTACTAATTTCCTAATCCTTACTGCTTTCGTCGTCAAGTCGAGAAGATACCGGCTACAATATCCTGATTCGGCGTTGACAACACGAGCGGTGTAAGCAAACTTCGGCGTTGACAACTCGAGCGGTGTAAGCAAACTTGTGCTGACCCGGAAGCCCGAGAATCCAGTGTCGATCAATTCTGCCCTAGTCGTTTGCCTAAACTCAGTGCCGGCAAATGACGTCGGTACTCGATTGAGAAGCCTGCCAGTTGCTTCTCACGTTTCTCTTGGTACAAATCCCTTCTGATGCCACGGCTCGATCGTCTACTCAGCATCTCGTTTTTTCCACATTTTGGTCTCGGACCCACCTCGTCATCTTATCTGGGTAGCTGACCTTAAACTACGGATGCAATCAGCTGATCCGGCTGTCCTGTCACGGATAGAGATACTCAGAAAACGGTGTACTGACTCGTCTGGTTACTAACAGTTGACAAGAATTTCTTTACGGCCTTTGAACGAATCGGACTCGTTCGATAGTGCAAAGGTCTCCTGAGCGAACTAAAGGGTAAATCTGCGCATTACTGCAAGTAAGCTGGAACGACTTTCGAAGGTTGCGGGAGCGTGCGGTACCGAACGCATCCCACTGATTCTGACCAGCACGCGGGAGCGACATCATCGTCGTCCAATCGGCCGCGCCGTCGTTTTGCAAAGGCTGAATGATTAAGTCTGTTGTTGGATTCGGGTTGTGACGGTTTACATTTCCGTCAGGGACCGCTGTTCAGTTGACACAAGCGCAGCTCTACGATGTTAGTGGTTCTGCAAAACGCAGCTTGCAGTCTGTTGTAGCGCCCGAGTCGGCACTAACGAGAGGTACGTACCTCTCGTTATGCCTCTCCGTACACCGCGTGCACTATGTGCCGAGCAAAGAAGGATGAAGCTCACGCGTTGACTGCGATTTAGAGTTTCATTGACGATGATAAACAAACGAACGGGAGCAAGTTTTGTTCACAGAGTATTTGTTCGCGATGATGTCGCTTGTTTGGCTGCTGGTTCCGGCCGTTCAAATCAACCTTTCCGCAGATTCTCTTTTGTATCTACAGCCATGCCGTCGCCACCATGGTGTTGGCAGCGCGTAGGTTAATCACAATCTAATTAGTTTAATGATTGGAATGAGTGCGACTCAAAAGCCTCCGTCCCGTCATCTTGCGAGTAAGCACTGAGGCTTTCCGTCCAAAGCTGTCTGCTTGCGCCTGACCGTAGTAACACCTTACCTTGCGGTGACGTTGAAGTGGGAGACTGGGGCTCGCTAGTCGCTATACATTGCTGACCAACTTTGGGCGTCACTTTACAATTGCAATCACAGGTTGAAAGTCCAACGCCCACTGCACATGTGATCCGGCGTTCGGCCGGCCTGGCCCTGACGTCCGATGTTCGACCTATCGAAGACGCTTCAATCCGTCGGGCGATGCTTGCCGTCAAATTCTTTACCCCCTTGTCTTCTCGACCGTAAACGATTGCACGAAAGTTGCACTGTTCAGAATCTCGGGAATCGATCTGTAGTCACTCAAATCAGATCTGATCAGCGCGCCAGGATCTTCCCACTTGGCCCCGAACTCGGTTTCCCGAACTTACGGCCTAACTTTTTTTGTGGTTATACAATTCACGAGCAACTTTCGATCAGTAGAAGATCATAGGGATGCTGAGTATCCCCCGAAATGCCATCCGAATCAACAGGATTTATGGAAATTGGACGACGGTGCCCGGCCCGCGATCGTAGCCGCGCGCTTGTGACTCGAGAATTCAGGTGCGGCGCGGGCCGCCGGCCGCCAAAAGGATCATGTTGAACTTATTGAAAGCATACTTGCCAGACTCAAGATGCCTAGCTAGCCGCCGCACGGGCGGACCCGCCGCCGTCCGGGCAGTGGAGCCGGGCCGGCCGCGACAGTCGCCAGCCGGCTGCCGGCGGCCGCCGAGTGAGATTATGAGCTTGAATGATCTTGCCCTATATAGCAATGATTTGAACTTAGGGCCGGGCTTGATCATGCGCCCAGCCACAACATGTGCCGCGGTGCATGCATGTCTGCACTCCGGGAGCCCGTATAGTGTACTTATAAGCATGATTTGCATGCCGCGGCGCATGTATGTCTGGTTATAACCGACTGCACATGCATTCCTTGCTAGCTACACCTCGATCGGGCCATGTGTGTGTCTAGACATTGATTCCCACCAGTGGCACTGCGACTTAAGGTGGATCATTGCTCCATGTCACTCCGATCTTTTGGATCGGACACTCTCAGAACTCGCTCGATCATGCAATGATGTGCATCGAGTCCCGGCTGATTGCCACCAAGCCGATCGCTTAAACTATCGACGCAATCAGATTGATCAGATTGAAGGATGGCAAACCAATTCGAAAAGGGGATACTTATGTGTCTCACACCCAACATAGCCCCAGCCTGAGTCAGGCTGTACTTTATAGTATTACGCTACTGGCTAGGTTTGAAGAGTCGGAGCGGTCACCAGGTTTGAAATGATACTTGTTGGCAGGTACTATTTTTAAAGTTGGTATGTGATCGAAAGCAGCAACTACGTACAGGATCGATTAAGGACAGATTGACAGCACTTATGTCAACCTCTTCACACATACTACTCAGTAATGGTCACTTGAGCACAGCGTATCCAAGCTAGCGCCTGAACCGCTTGCTTAACAAACTTTAGGCTCCAGATAGAAAAGCTTCCCAAACGCAAAACCAAAAATCAAAGTCGTTGCCTAACGTACCCTATCGGCAAGGGCAAGGCAAACTTGAGATCCGCTGCCTGCTTATCTCGGTAACAGTGTGTCACCGCGTGCTCTGCAAAATGCAGGCCACTCACGACCCTATATCGTTGCAGCAAAACGCGAGCCTTTCGCCCAAGCTTTGGCGATATGATTGCGCACACTTACGTGGCATCTTATCGCGTGCCGACTTGAAAACCCTATGGAGTACCTCCGTCTGTAGACGCAATCTCCGCTTGCAGCGTCGTCAATCAATCGCTTTGCAGTGATGCTGTCATTTACAAAGCATGGCCGCATGCTCTGGTGTTACTTCGGCGCTAGGCTGTCCAGATAAGTCACCACTAGTTGTGCCGCAGAAGCCTGTTGCTGGTCTTGGCTGACGACCGCAATGTCGTCGAAGTATTGGTATCCATAGTCGCCCATCTGATAATGGTTGCCCCCCGCGAGCGGCACCAGAGGCAACGTCACATTCGGGTTCCCATACGGGTTCACAAGCGCTTGATACCGCAGATAACTCAACCCTGGTCCGCTAACCCTGTCGAGCGTCCCGACTATGTTCACTACGGGAGTCGGGTTAGTGCTCAGGTTAGCAGGGGCGATCCCTCCAGCCAGCATCACCAGCGCAAAAACCCGAGTCGGGTTAGCGGCGACGTAAGCTGCCGCGCCCTGGCCGCCCGCGGAGTGGCCCCCGATCGCCCACTTGTTTTTGGGTACCGATGCGAAAACCGGGTTAGTGGAGTAAACCACGGCGGTCGGGTCGGTAGAGTTGAAAACCCCTGCAACGCGCCCCGTCTGTTGGATGATGACGCACAGCCAGCCCTGCGCCGCGATGTTGAAAGCGACCGGAAAGTAGGCCCGGGCATCAACTGCACCGCCTGGAAGGAACGGGAGCGTAATATGTGAGTTGGACGGAACGGGCGGAACGGGAATATAGTATGGCCATTCAATTGTGAAGCAATTGAGTGAACACGCAACTAGCCCTCAGAGCTGCAAGGTTGAAGTGGACTATGACGTTGCGGGGGCATCGACTGCGGCCTCTGGACGAGACTGGAGCGAAACGGAATGGACGGAAGCGGAGCGGGGGGACGGAATCAATCGGTCGAAGAGAAAAGAAAGTCGTGAGCGGTCAATCAGCCCTGCACCGCGTCTTAAGAAACTGGTTTTTAAGCCCGGGCATCGACTGCGGCGCTTGGGGAAGATGAAAGCGGTATACAAAAGTCGGCGGAACGGGCGGAACGGAAGCGGACTTGGTCAAGTACGGAGGAACTCAGTAAGCGTGCTGCCAGCCCTGCGCCGCAGTTTTAAGGCCAATTGCGAAGTTTGCCTGCACGTCTGATGAGGCGCCTTATAGCACGGAACGGGTTCAAGGGAAGTGGGACGGGGAATACAAACGATTATTATACAATACGGAAAATGGTGTAATTAATGGCCCATACTCGGTCAGAATATCGAAGGCGACTGGAAAGTACGCTTGCGTGCGGATTACGACACTTAAAGGAGGCCGGAACAGATTGACCGAGACGGAAGCGGAACAGGCGAGATGGAGACGGAACGGAAACGGTGACAAAGAAAGGGACTCGTTGACGTGGCAACAATTAAGAGTGCGGCCCGATATCAAAGGCAATTGCAAGGGTTGTCCGAAGTACTGAAATGGAAACGCTCCAAAGCGAGGAAAGCGGAACAGGGAACGGCATTGCATGACTGGATGCATCGATAACCTTCTCCTCTTTCCTGTCCCGACAACAAAAGCCGGCAGCTCCTCAGCAATCGTGCCGCAAGAAATACAGGGGTTGTAATCTATCAAAATAGACTGAAAAAAATAAAAAAGAAGAACGGATAAAAGGCACAACAACTCCTCCTCACCTGGCAGGAAAATGTACCCGCCTCGGGTGACGTTGGCCGGTGGCGAGAACACGTACCAGTGACGCACTGGAAGCGTGCCCGGTATCAGAATGTCCTGGAAGGTTACTGGCCCGGTCGAGTTAACCGGGTAGGGTTTGGACACGTTCCGCCCGGGGGTTAGCCGGAAGTTGTCGCCAAAGGACAGTGCTCGGGGTGTTGCCTCCGCCCACTGGGCCAGGCTGCGGGAAAGTAACATTTTGGGGTTACAAATAGTTTAGGGTTAGGGTAAAGAAGCCGTTCAACATAAATCTCGCAGACTGCTTACGGTTAGGAGTACAGGGTGCATACTTTGCACTCATTCCTAAAACCTGAAATATATGTCTGAAGTTCGTCATTGTCCACGAAATAACCCCGGCAGATGAGAAGAAAGGGAGCGTGGGCGAAAATCTTTCTAGGAGATGAAATTGTTGAAATTTGAAGCAATCATTTCTAGGCAATTGTTTGGAGACTGCCTGATCCAGAATCTGGAATTGCATATGTGAAAACCAGACAGTGCGCACGAAGTTACAGAAGCAGAATCTTCCAAACCCTCAAACGGAACCCAAACAGAGCGGAATGCCCGAATGCATTCCAGTGGCTCTACTCACAGGATGGGGAACGAAAAGTAGTACGTCGTGAGGTATCTTGCTGTGGCGGCGGTCAGATTGGAGCCCCCGGTTGTTGGCCCGGGGGAGTTTTGCGAGCACTGGCTGTAAGCAAAGTCGTAGTGGCCCAGGTTGAATGACGTCAGCACGGCATCGCCCGGGAGGCGCAGGGCGTCAGCTCGCGCCTGGGATGACGTTACTACCGTGTCGGTGGCGCCGTAGGCTGAGAGGACGAGGAGGTTGGCGGAGGACAGGTCGAGCGAGGCTGGGGGATAAAAAGGGAGGGTGTGAGGATAGCGTATGGAAAGGTCGCGGGCCATATGTCATTGGATTGAGAGATGCTTGCTCGGAGTTATCTGGACTCTGATCTTCGTTGAGAACTCCCTTTCCAATACATCACAAGGCCAACGAAGGATATTTATGCAGCGATCTCAGTCCTCCAATGACGCTTCTAATGACTTTCCAAACGAAAATTCCGGGCAATGAACTCGGATGCCAGATGCAGAAGGGGAAGGCCAGTGGTCTTTGCCCAAAAAAACGGAGCGAGACTCTCAAGACGAGCTTACAAAACCATGGGAAGTCCAGCATACACACACTTGCACTATGCAATTCTCCCCAGTTAGTACCTCAATATCTGTGTGAAAACCTGCAAATAAATTCGCGACTTGGAGAGGCTGTTCGCATTTGGCAGCCCACAGCAAAACCCAATCAGGTTCGTTCGGTTTCTGAAAGCTCAATCCCGCGTGGACTTTCCTAAACACATGCGGTTCGGGCTTCTTTCTCTGGTACGTCCTAACAGCACAATTCTATCGACGATGTTTAAACCTTGAAGTCAAAGGTGCGAACGTGAAGTGCCAAACCGAGCCCCCACATGGAAAATCTTTCCAATTTGAAAACACGCAACGAACACCCCGTATACATCTCTCGACCAATCGCAGGAAGCCGGAATTCGTCAACAACTTCGATCGTTTTCCCGAGGAAGTCACTTACTTGAGCACGCGAGAACCTCTCGCAGTCCCTAGTTTGAACTGTCAAACAAGTACCCAGTTCCCTTTACACATCTACGACAAGAAGGTATATCTTCCTTCCTGTGACACGTTGTTCTTTGTGTGGCCACACCGTGCAATAACTATAGTAGCGGCGCACCTGGCAGAGTCGCGGCTAGGAGGATCAGTCCCCGGACCTTCGGGTAAAGAACCGGCGCCAGTCCGGCAGCAACCGTTCCTCCCCGCCCATGTCCCCCAAGCACCCAGTACTGTAAGTCGGACCGCAGCGCCATTGCTCCGAGGACCGTTCCGTAGGAGCTGCAAGGACACAATCATTGGTTTTGCGGGTGGTCAAGGTCAGCAATAAGGGTCCTTTGGGGTACTCCGGCAACTTTCGATTGTTTTAACGGCCGATTCTTTCAAGGTAAGCACACCGGGGACAGGTGGGGTTAGTTTGGGGGTTTGGGTGCGTGCGGGTGCGGAGCGCGTAAAGTTTTAGGTTAGGGTTCTTAGTTGAGGTGCCCGGGGCTAATGTATCTTGAAACAATCATCTCTTCATACAATACAAAGTAACCGGTATTTTTGGGGCAGGCTGTACCGAATCATGCGGTGTTTTCAGGCTGGGGTTACGACAGTGATCAATTTGCAAGTCGGGTTGCATTACCACCGCTTCGAAGACGGTCCCAATTGAGCTGCGGAGCTGCGTTAGATTTGGGGTTTGGATGTGGGTCAAGGTTGGCAAGTGTGCGGCTTCCTTTAGGCAAAACCGTTTGCTATCAGACTGCCACGTTTTGTTACCCTATCAAAAGGTGCCGGATTTGAGTCCTCTGCAGAAACGTGCACCTAGGCAGAGTAACTCAGGAATAAGTGACTGGTTTGGGGTTACCTGTCGGCAGCTATAACGACAAAATGCCCCGATGAGAGCGCCGTAGCCCGAGCGTATGGAGCATAAGCTATGGGGTCGACACCGTCCTCAGGGAGGAATATGACCCCCCGGGTGACGTTCGGGCCTCCTGACAGGTACGAGATGGTGACGTTGCCCGCCAGAAACGTGTACCCCACCTGTGTTCAAGGTGCGAAAGATAAGCTATTTTTAGCAGTTTGACAGTAGGCGGTGTCAAATGGTCACACTAAGTAAAAAGGTTAAAACCATCTAGTAGGTCTGCGGGGAGTTCTTTTAGGTGGACGAAGGGCCAGCTAATCAAGATATGGGTGTGCCAAAACCTGCGCGTCATCGGGTATCAACACCCCCAAAATGAAATGGTTTGCACACAGTTGTGTGCCAGCATCACGAGCAGCTACTTGCCCTAAAACGGAATAGTGCAAGTAACCTGCCCCAAGGGAGCTAAGGGGCTCATTGAGGAGTGGTTCAGCGGCAACGTCCCTGCTTTTCAGCACGCAATGTTGACCAAATGATCCCAATGCATGAACCATCTTCCTCACTAAGCTCCTGGGGTTGCATGCAACCTATGCAAAGTGTCCCTGAGCTTCTGTAATGGTGCGCTCTAAACTTCAGCTTTTCCGGCTGAAATGCACACAAACTATAGTCAATGGGGCACCGTGCTTTTAGATCCTCGCCTGACTTTCGTTTCCTCAATATTAGAGAGTGGGGAGTTCCCATTACCCCCACATTAAACCCACCATGGCCATTTGCCACATTCTGTGGCGCTTTAACCTCAGCTCTTTTAGGGTCTTGGCAAAAGGACCAATCAGAGTAGTCCGCTTGTCAAACCAAGACGCTATTCCAGTCGTTCAGTTGGCCAAACCTAAACAGTTTAGATCTCATGTTTGCCAGCGCGACAGTCATGGCGACCAAGCAATGGATGGGTCTTTGAAGGTTTGCTTAATAGCCATACCTCTTTTGCACAAAATCTTGACTCCTTTTCTTGCAGCGGTCTGCCCCTCAATGAAATCAGAGAAGCAACCTTTCAAAGAAAGCTTGCTTTGAGGTTGGTACAATTCAACACTTTTATGTCCTCTACTCAAACCCTGGCGGCGGCATTTCAGGATCGCATTCTTCACTCAGTGACCAGGGATTCAGTAACTCACCCCAGATACGTTGCTGACATTGATCGTGACATAAGCGCCGCTCACTAACGTTGGCGTAGTGATGGGCGCCAATGCCGCCGTGGCATTGGCATTTGGGGGGCAGACAAAACCGCTTGCAGGGCCCTGTTCCGGGGCACCTGCAGGCGCATTGCTGGCGGGGGCATTGGCAGGAGCCGCAACAGGCACAGAAACAGGGCCCTCTGCAGGCGTGGGGTTTGATGGGTTGGGCCTGACAACTGGCAAGACAGGGGCGCCCTGTTGCGGAGAAAAAGCAGGAGCGCCAATGGTAGGCGCATTGGCAAGTGCTGAAACAGGGCCCTGTTCAGGGGATGGTGTAGCGGTGGCGCTAGGGGGAGCGCTGGTCGGAGCGGACGTGGGAGCTGGAAGAGGGCCCTCTTGCAGGAGACCTCGGGACGAAGCAATGCGAGCTGCGTTGACAATGGGCAAAGCAATGGCCAGCAGGACAAGAAGGAATGCAAAGATGCGGGGAGGGCCGGAAGCGGTACCCATCGTGCCAACTTGTGAACTTGAAGTTGTAAGTTGAAGACTCTCGAGTAGATATCAAACCAGATTTCGAAGATGATCCCTCTCTGTCGCCTCCTGACCGGCTCGTTGAAGTCGATTCTAAGGATGGTTAAACGAAACCATCATATCTAACTAATGCGGGTTTGCATCTTTTGCGATCCGTCGAGGGCCCGGTACAGTTACCCGTGCACATTTCTGTTCCCGCGGGCGTTTCGGAGGATATTGGCACATGGGGCAAATCACCGGGTTATATGTTTTGTGGTTGCTGCCCGCCCTACGTAGTTAGCTGTAACAGCAAACCACGCAGCAAACGCGCTTCCCCCGTTCCCCGGCGCTTAGCTTCCAGGGTAACTAAACCCTCTACCACACAGCCAAGACTCGTTTTCCTACCTTTTAGGGTTCTCGTGTCTAGGCTTTCTTCTACTTGTTTTCCGGGGGACGCTTTGTTTGTCGAGATTTGCATATTAAGTTTCAAGGATGAAACAATGTCACCTCGATGCAAGCGTGATTCAGTCAAGCGGCGCTCCATTTTGAAAAATTGAAACCGCTTGGACGCTTGGCCACTGGCATACGCTCCGCCTTACTATGCAATGCAAGCGAACTCATTTTACTATATCACTCATGAAAGTCATTTGTTGAATGAGCTTCCCATCAGCTTGCTGTGACGTTGATGAAATCGTTTGAGCGGAAGCTCTCGTCGCAACAAGCGCTCAAGAAGTCTCCTGCCACGTCCAGGGCCTCGAAAAAGTCAGTTGTTAATTCTTAGGGCTAACCATGATTGGTTGGGGTTCCTATGAATGTATGAAAGGACGCGCGCGCGCACGTTTCGAATGTGGCACGGTGACCGCCTGTCTGTACAAAAACTTTGATTGGCCAGCACTTCAAAATCGAAGGTCGGATGGTGAGCTTTACGACATTCTCGTCTTTAGAACAGGCCCAGATGACAAGGTCAGCTACGTACGCTCGTAAGCCAGCAATCCGACTCTACGCTGCACGTTCATCGTCTTATTGAAGCAACCCTGCGATCAATGGTGTCCCAAGTGTCTACCGTTCTAGGGTTTGCACGAAGAGCCTGCCACTTCACTAGGGCTGATTTTCGTCGGTTTTCGGCATGTTAAGTTTCCACTGAATAGGTCCCTGACTGGCAAGGAATGAAAACTACATGAGCACGGATTAAGCTGCTCAATGTAGGTTTGACAGATAGTTTGAGCCACCAGCAATCGACCCGACCGTGCAGGTGACCGGCTCAGGGCCGCGAGCAGTTCCATAAGTAGAATGTAAGACGTCTCCTCCACGTCTAAAGTTGTGCTAATTCCAACTCTATGGCACTCACGTCTCCCGCTGCCCATCACGGTTCTCGCCAGGGCCTTATTTGGGTTGCAAACTGCCGGGCTGGTTGTCATCAAAATGTCAAGCCGTCTTTTAGATCTACCAAAGGCAGTAACGGTGTTGATCAGCGGATGAACGGATAGAATCTCGAGTACGTCGGACACCTTCTGACAGCTCTTTGGGGACCGTTCCGAGCCCATTTAATTATACAAACCCACACTGAAACAGCAGATTCGAGCGCTCTATTTTGAAGAGCCTTGGGGCTTTCGCTTGCGCGACTGCCTCGAAATATAGAGATGCTGAGATTGTCGGCGCCCTCGGGAGTCCAAGTGTGCTCGTACTTTTCAATGGCGAATCACATTGGAGCTCTTAAATCAACCTACTGGTCCTTTCGTCAGAACTTGCAACTTCTGCTCCTGCGGAGTTTGATAGTACACTGCCGGCGACGTCGTCTAAACGAAGCGGTCCGAAGAACTCTTCTCTTTTCATGGAAGAGATAAGAGATGTTTGTTTGGCCGTGACTCGGCAACTGTCCTCGTTCCTCAAAGCTCTCCTTGACGTGATGAGCCGCTTCTTTGCCTCGTTACGAAAGCCTTGTGTGATTCCGGCCATTGTTTTGGGTCTTGGTTTGGGCCTGCTTCCCTGGTGCGAAGGTTTTTTTTGGCAAGGAAGTTCTGGCGGCTGAGCGAATTAGCTCAATGTAAAGGTGCTGACCTGCAATCTGAAGCCAGGAAGGTGATGTCAAGGTGATCTTCTTCACTGTACGTATGGCTACTGCAAGCGACGACTCTTCGGCACTTATGGGCGACTGTCCCGTTAAAAGACCCACTGATCAGAGACCACAGACTTGGAAAACAAGCCTCGTTGCATTCAATTTGTTAAAAGCGGATTAGCAGCTAATCTCTGACGCGTTGCTTTGGCTTGCTTCGATTCCCTTAATTTGCTTGCTCCCTGATCGTATCCTGTTTCCGGCCAGAGCTGTAGAAGTCGACGACGCATGTCGAGCTGCCACAGTGTCGCGGCGGTCTGGTCAATTCTTCAGCGTTTTGCTCCGTCCTTTCTGTTTCTAAATCTTGGAGAGCTTCCGAGCTCTTTGCGAAGATGATAGGCTGGAAATATGGCGCAAAAACGTCCAATCTTTCAAAGGAAGTTTTGCGTGTTTTGAACCGGAGCCGTCATCACCACTACATATAAGACTCGTGACCTTGCCAATCTTCTTCCAAGCGTTTTCAGGCCTCGTACAGTCACGGTAAGAAGCAACAGTGTAATGCCTAGAGGCAGTCTTGCGGGTGAACGCGCGCCAGACTACATCATTCACGGCTTCGAACCTTCTTCTGTGATTCAGACGCCATTTTGGGCTCTCCGCTCCCATTCGTTCCGACTTGTGAATCACCTCGTGCCTTTAATCGATTCTATATATTTCCGGCATCTGCAGGTTCATGCAAAGTAGTTCCCATAGTCATACACAATTTCTTCACTCAATTGGCTTTTTTGAGGACACGCTTCTCGACGTTTGTTTTCACAGCTGCGACTAGCCTTGTGAGCCGTTGGTCGAAGCGCCAAAGAGACTTGTCAACATGCCAATTGATGTTTGAAGTCAGATTTGAACGAAAACCCAATCACGTAAACTATTTTAAACGCCACAACGTGCGGCATGCTTTGTGTAGTGGGAAGGTTCTGATGGCAAGGAATTTTGGGCGGCTGGGCGATTCTGCTCAAACAGGTATTGACCTGGAATCTGAAGCCAGGAAGGTGACGTCAATCTCATTCTTCTTCACTGTGTTGCTACGCAGGCGATGACTCCTAATCAGTGGGCGACTGGCCCGTTGAAGAGACATTAAGAAGCCACAGACAAGGAATTTAACGGAACTTGGGCAATCGATGTGTCAAAAGCAAACTAGCAGCTGATCTCTGACACGTTGTTTTGGCTTGCGTCAAATACGTTAATTTGCTTGCTGTTTTGACCGTTTCCTAATACCGGCCAGAGTTGAAGGAAGGACGCCGAAGCATGTCGAGGCGGCAGGCCCGGCCAAATCGTCGGCTTTTGCCTCCTTCTTATCGTTCGTAAATTTAGCAGAGCTTTGGAGCCCTTTATGAGGATAGGCCACAGAGTTGGCGTGAAAACGTCCAATATCGATTAGAAAGTTTCGCTTTTAGCCTCGACCGAAGCCCGCATTTCATTAAGGCACTCATTGCACTTGCCAGAAACTCTTTCTTTGAGCTTTTCCTGTCGTCGTATGTCGTGGGACGAAGCAACCAAGAAATGCCAAGAGACAGCCCAACGGTTGAACGCCCAGCTACATCGTTCACGGCTGCGAACCTTCTTTGCAATTCAGCCGCCACGCAAGTTGGGCTCTCCGCTTCCGCTGCTTTGTGATAGCTCGTAAGTTATCTCGTGCCCTCGATTGCTTCCGTTCTATCTGCAGGCATCTGCTAGAAGCTTTGCTCCGTTTGTTCTCTCTCAACGGGCGCTTGACGACATGCTTCTCGACGTTTGTTTTCACAACTGCGAAACTGCGAACAGCCTCCTGACCCGCTGATCGCAGCGGCAAATAACTTTATACATGTGGGTCGAAATTTGAATTCAGACCCAATAGCTGGGGATCCAACTAGTAACGCTAACCACCACGTGCGGCATGCTTCTATTCAGTGGCTATGAGTGAAAGAGGTCTGGCCGGGGGCAATATTATGCCTTACGACTCGATCACCTCTTACTGATGCCGCATATATAAGGCCCGCGCCAGCTTTCGACATAGGCTGTGATTTTGCTGGTGTGATTGGCTCACCTTCAGATCGACATGCAGTATTCTGCCAGTTTTCGTCTCAATCGCGGTCGCTTGACACTTCAAGGCCTAAAAGTTGCGCTGAGGGTCCTTTTGGGGATGCCTCCTGTAAATCGGAAGAGGACTTGCGTCCTGCGCTAACACAATGGAACAAGTCCACAAGTTACGCTCAATATCCTTAGCGCTGGCGTGATCTGGCATGTCTTCGCAGATCAAAAAGAAACATCGTCCGAAACATCGTCCGAAACATCGTCCGAAACATCAAGTGCACCGAGATACGAAGCCTAGGCAATGATGAGTAACTGCGGGTTAAGTGGCTGAGCACTCGTTTCGGTCATATGTCTGCCACGTCGGAACACATTGATGCCCTCGAAATCATTCTTCAAGGGTGAGAATTGCACTTGAGTCGACTCGATCAGTGTCCTTCGTTGATAATTTGGGTCCAGGGGCCGATCTGGAGCTGGGATCCGTGACTGCATCCGAATCGTGTCCTCGTTTATGACATGCCTCACGCTGATCCAGGCTTTTGTGCTCGGGTGTTTCATGGTGGTATCACGCTTGTACTGCGACTAAACATTTGAGCTTGCCACCATCACGTAATCGCTTGCCGACCGAATTAAGAGGCTACGTTGATTCCCTTCGCGCAGCGCAACGGCACTGATTAAGGCATATTCTTTTCTGGACTTTACGAGCACGTTGTGACCTACTGTATGCCGTGGCAATGATTGGAACAGCTGAGTAGGCCTCAGTGAAATTGAGATTATGGGAGATCAGATTCCCTGATGCCGCACGTCTGCACACCGTGTGTCTCCTGATAAAGTAGCAACTGGAAAGCACGGACTGTGATCGACATGGAAACGTGTCTTGTACGTCCATCCGCTCTCTGCCAGCGTATC